CGAACCCGTGGGAGAGGCGAGAGCCCGGCGGGGTCGGCTCTGTCCTGCTCGATGCAGCTGGGCGGTTGGCTCCTGCCCATCGTGCTCCGCTCCTGCCGAAGCATCTCCTCGGGCTTTTGCCTGCCAGTTCCCGCCCCCGGCAGCCACCTCGGCTGTGAGCATCTGCTCGGCGTGCTCCTGCTGGCTCCCGGCTTTCCGTGCTCCTGCTGGCTCCTGGTTTTCCAAGTCTGTCCCACCTCGCTGTCCGCACTCCTGCCCTGGCAGCCCCGCGGCGAGAGGGTGGCTGGGAGCATCTCCAGAAGTTACCCGAGATCCATCCCGGCCTTGTGGCTGGGGATGTCAGCAGTGCAAGCTGAGCTGAAGCTGGAACACGTCGTCACGAAAATAACACAAATGTAAACTCTGCCACCTGAGAAAAAGGGTCTGCGGGACCGGAGCTGGGCTTGGCTGTAGGAGGAGAGCGTGACGCCTTTGCCGTACGGATCAGCAGCAAGCCCGCCCGCTTTCCCTTAGCGAGGGACATCGTTTATCGCACCGGCCGGAGGTGGCACTGCACAAGTGCCGTACCTGCGGTTTGTACCCGTGCTCCCTTGCTTCCCCTGCGAGCACGCGCTGTGCTTCAACCTCAGCCAGCGCCCGTCAGGGTCGTGTGCGAACGCTCGTGGGATGGATTTTCCGCTGTCGGTACAGGTGTAAGTGCCCGTACCCCCGGGGCAGTGCCCGTACCCCCGGGGCAGCCTGGTGACGGTTCCTAGCTGGTGGCGTTTCACACCCCTATGGGCCTCGCCCGACTGCAGCATCCACAGCCACCGGGGAGGGGAAGCGGCCGATGCGAACTGGGGTGGGTAGGAAGGGAAGCGGTGGGTTTTAGAGTCTCTGAGCAGGAAGCTTCCTGCTCCAACAGCGAACCTTGCTTTTCCCTCCGGCTCCTCGTTTTGGTGGAGTTTTGCTCTCGTTTTTCCTAACGAGCGGGACGCGTTGCTCTAAAGCTGCGAGCGCCTGCGGGACAACACTGCTGAAAGGATCCAGTATTTCAGTAGAAGTTTGTTTGAGTGTGCAGCATAAGTTTTCAGATTTGAGGTCTTGTTTTTGTTTATTTGCTAGAAAATGGCAATTGGTTTTGCTTCTGGTTAGAAGACGAGCTTGTGCTTTTGGTTTCTGCCAATGGTGTTTGGATGAAGAGCGGAATGGGGTTTTGTGTGGCAACCTGGTGTCACAGTTCACGGTCACGAAGCCTCCTGGGCACGATGGGTATGTCCTGCATTCACAGAATCCCAGCCTGGCAGGGGTTGGCAGGGCTCTCCGGAGCTCACCCAGTGCCACCCCCCTGCCCAAGCAGGCTCACCCAGAGCAGGGGGCACAGGACAGCAGCCAGGCAGGGGTTGAAGATCTCCAGAGAAGGAGACTCCACAGCCCCCCTGGGCAGCCTGGGCCAGGGCTCAGGTACCCTCACAGTCAACAAGTTCTTCCTCCTGTTCAACTGGAACCTCTTCTGCTTCAGGTTGTGCCCATGGCCCCTTGCCCTGGCGCTGGGCACCACTGAGAAGAGTCTGGCTCCATCCTCATGACCCCCACCCTTGAGATATTTGTAGGTGTTGATGAGGTCCCCTCTCAGCCTTCTCTTCTCCAGGCTGAACAAGCCCAGCTCCCTCAGCCTTTCCTCGTAGGGGAGATGCTCCAGTCCCCCCATCATCCTTGTTGCTCTCCTCTGGACTCTTTCTAGGAGTTCCTCATCTTTTCTCCCCAGGGCAGAGCAGAGGGGGAGGAGAACCTCTGTCGCCCTGCTGGCCACGCTCCTCTTGGTGCACCCCAGGATGCCCTTGGTCTTTTTGGCCACCAGGGCACCGTGCTGGCTCATGGTCAGCTTGTCGTCCCCCAGGACCTCCAGGTCCCTCTGGGCAGAGCTGCTTCCCAGCAGGTCAGCCCGCAGCCTGTACTGGTGCCTGGGGTTCCACCTCCCCAGGGGCAGCACCCCACACTTGCCTGTGTTGAACTCCATCAGGTTCCTCTCTGCCCAGCTCTCCAGCCTGGCCAGGCCTGGTGCATTGGCATGTGCAGGTGGGGCCATAATGTGTTGGTTTGCCTGCTAAGGGGGGCGATGCGTGTCTCCGCACATGCCAGCCAGAAGCTTTCAAAACGCCCTTGGCTCCTCGTTGAGGCTGAAGCCACTGCCGCAAGCCCTGCCTGGTGCTGGATCCTGGCTCAGCACCATCCATCGGCCTGCGAGAGCTCCTCCCCGGCTGCTCCCGGGCCGTGCGTCGGGGGCTGAAAGCAGCCTCCTGTTCCCCTCCGATAAAGAGGACATTCTCTCGCTTAGGCCAAGCCTCGCAGCAATCAAACCAAAATATTTTCTGCACAATGGACAGAGCTACTGACAAACGGGGTGATGCGAGTGCCAAGCGTGCTTCGTTCGAGAGGCCGATGGGGGCAGCGCCGCAGCCTCGGACTGCGCCGCGGGACTTAAACCCAGCAAGACAGGCAAAGGTCCCCTCCCTCGTAACTGCGTTTCAGCGCAGAAGCCTTTCGAAGGCACAGAGTTTTGGGGGTGTTGGGGGGGGGCTGGCAGCATGGTGGTCCTTTTTAGGCAATTAAAACCAGGTAGTTCCTGTGGCGCCGTGGCGATGCGGTGTAGGCGTCATCTGTTTCACCTGGGCTTACTCCGAGGAGGCGGCACTGGTGCTGGGGGCAGATCCCAACGCCTGACTTGTCCCCCCCCCCCCGCTAAACCTCATCAGCCTTAGTGAAATTGCCATGGCCTCGAGTACCTTAATCGAGTCCCACCCCTCCCCGAGGCTGCAGACGTGTTGATCGGTGGGGTTTGCTTTGCCTGGACAGAGGGGTGCGTGTCGGGGGTGGCCAGCTCGATGGCTGGTGATGCCGAAACCAAAATGTGGATTAACATTTGCAATGATAAAGCCTCAGCAGCTCGATGAGTTTCCCCCCGATGCTTTCGGCTCGTCAGCACCCCGACGGGAAGCGCTGCTGCGGTCGGTACCCTCGGGGGTCCTGCGAAGGCTGTGGGAAACCGGCATGGGGGGGTGAGCTGGCTCGGGCTGCCAGGGCCGCTTACCTCCTGACAAAAAAAGGGGGTAGGGAAGTAAACCGTGTCAGAAATGGGGTGTGTGTTCCTGAGCCCGTAGCGCAAGAGGCTGGGAAGCTGCGGGCAGTTTCTGATGTGCTGAAAGGATGGAGCAGGGAGGGGTTCAGGCAGGTACGGCTGCGCTGACATAGAATCCCAGAATGGTTTGGGTTGGCAAAGCCCTTGAAGCTCCCCCAGCCCAACCGCTCCCCTACCCCTGCCATCCCACCCCCAAACCCTGGCCGCCCCTCGTCCCATTGCCCCTTCCCTGGGAGCAGAGCCCCCACCTCGCCACAGCCTCCTTTCCTTCATGGTTGTGTTGGGTTTTTGGTTGGGTTTTTTTTCCCCAAAGCTTATAAAAAATGTATAAATTGGGTCTGTGAGCCTGGTGTGTCTGTTAAAAGCTGCCGCGTGGTAGCTAATGGTGGGTTTGCCATTGTTTGTGATCCTGTTTGGCAGCTGCAAGGGAAGGAATTACCTTTTGCTGGCTCCCGAAAAGAAAGGGCTGCGGGGGTGAAGGGGGACTGGCCCCCCGGGCTGCGGGTGGCCACGTGCCGAGCGCGGGGTTCGGGGTGCTGGAGGGGAACGAGGCAGCCGGCATCCGAACCACGGGTCCGTCTGTCTGCACCGGCTGGGTTTAACCGGCCGTGCTTCTCCCCTCTGTCGGCAGGCATCCAGCACCGGCACCAGGATGAGCGTGGAAGCGAGCAGCAAGCCCCTGAAGGTGGGCTCCAGGGTCGAGGTCATCGGGAAGGGGCACCGCGGTACCGTGGCTTACGTCGGGGCCACCCTCTTTGCCACGGGGAAGTGGGTCGGTGTCATCCTGGATGAAGCGAAGGGCAAGAACGATGGGACCGTGCAGGGCAGGAAATACTTCACCTGTGAAGAAAACCACGGCATCTTCGTGCGGCAGTCACAGGTATGCTTCCCACCGCGCGGGCCTGGCCACGGCCTCTGCTGCCCGCGCGTGCCTCGGGTGCATGCAGCTCGTGGGTTGCTTGGGTAAACAGAGGAAAACGACCCTTTGCACCCCGATGGGGAGCGAGAAAATAAATGTCCTTTGCTCCCAGAGAGCGCCATGTTTCTGGGACTCCCCATCTTCCATCGCGGAGGGAACAGAACAGCTCCAAGGACGGACGGGAGCCTCACCTGGAGGCGGTGCTCCTGCCGGAGCTGTGCTTTGCTCCCGCCTGACAGGCAGCTTCTCTGCCCCTTTCATTGGGGGTTTTTGTTAGCCCGGTTCATGGGGTCATCGTGAGATATTTTCAGACGAATTGGGTGAAAAAAAGAATTCTGGAGAGTGGGGAAGAGTTTCATTTTGCCTCCAAAAGGAAGGGTAAAGCCTGCCTGCTGTCTGTGCTTCAGAGTTACCGGCTACACTCTCTGCAGGGGGTGAAGGTTGGGACCAGTATCTGGGTGTTTACCTGGAAGTCAAGCTAGAGGATTTTAATTAAATAATGTTGACCTTAAAGCATGCGAAATTGGCGACTTGGGTTCTGTTGTTGAGCTTTTGCTATTCACGAACCATGGGTAGGAACGAGGAGCTCATTCATGAACCCACAAGTCTCTTCCGTTTTCATTTCCCCTGTGTAACCCTCAAACAGCAGAAGCGCAGGGGAGTGATGCTGCTCGAGTCCCACAGGTCGGTGTGCTCCCAGCATGGTGTCACCGCCAGGGACGTTCAGCCCCTCTCCTCCTTCCTTGGCACAAAACGACCGGTTTAAGTTCTGTAGCATCTCGGCAGTAGAGCGCAGAGAGCGCTCCCTTCTGCTCCCGCTGACCCTCCTGCTGCCCCCCCAGACACGGTGACTCGCTGCCAGGACACGACTGAGGAAGCGTGGGGGAAGCTGAGCATGAAATAAGGGGATTTTAGGAGTGTAGGAGTCCTGGGGTGGATCCCAGCATCCTCATCCTGGCCCTCAGAAGGGCCTTTGGGTCACGCGTGGCTCTCGGAGTTCACTGATGAGAAGTGAACGCTCTCTGCTGGCTGTTCCATAGACTCCTAGAATGGTTTGGGTTGGCAAAGCCCTTGAAGCTCCCCCAGCCCAACCCTTCCCCTACCCCTGCCATCCCACCCCCAAACCCTGGCCCTCAGCACCGCCTCTGCCCGGCTGTTAAATCCCCCCAGGGCTGGGGACTCGACCCCTTCCCTGGGCAGCCCCTTCCAGTGCCTGACAGCCCCAAGGGGAAGGAATTGTTCCTGATATCCGAGGAGCTGATCGGCTTAAATCTGCTGCTGCAGCACGTCCTGTACCGTGTTGCGCTTCTCCAGCCCAACCCAAAAGCAAGCCCCGTTCTGGCTCCTGCCACCCAGTCTGGTGTTGCTGCCCAAGTTGTACCTGGTGGGGGACCCCAAGATCGCTCAAAATCCCCCCCTCAGTTTGGATAAGCTCCCCTCCGTGTCCTGGTGCAGCAGATCCCCCGAGATCCTGTTTCCATGGTCCTTGGGTCTGGTCTTCTTGTGCTGCTGCGTTTAGTGGAAAGTTGTGACAGTCCGTGTGTCACCAGGTGGCTCCGAGGCGGGGTGCGCCCGGCGGGTGGGTACCCCCTTTGGGCACGGGCCGGGGCGCCTGCCCTGTCCTCGCTCCGACAGCCCTGGTCTGAGCGTTCTCAGCAGTGGGGCACTTGTGATTTCTGTGGTGTAATTTTGCTCTGTCTCCTTGCTGCTTTTAATGTAAGAGTACGGCCCTGGTACTTGGGCACCTTCCCTGAAATAGCAGCTGTGGCTGACAGCTTCACAGATCAGTTTTATTTTTAAGCTGAACTCCCAGGCCTAAGGGTTTTCATGGAACAGATTGGGCAGATACCATCAGGAATGATTCGGGCAGTGTTGTAAGGTGAAGGGAAGGTTCTCAAGAAGGGATCTAATCCTTTTCAGTGTCGTTTCCTATATCTATCAGACGAAAGTGCAAAGTAGTTAGCAAAGAGGCAGCCCTGCACCGTCGGCCCTCCCGTAGCTCAGCACGGCTCAAACCTGAGCGTGTTCCCCTCCGCGCCGCCTGGGGTCCCCCGGGGAGCTGGGGGCTTTCAGATCAAAAAACCGAAACACCCCCCCCGCCCCGCTGTCTGCGTCGTGTTCCAAGTCGCTGAGGTTCTCTGCTTCAGAGCAGAGCAGCTCTCCTTGAGAAGAGAAAGAAGAGTTCAAACCAATTTTTGCTCAGACAACATGGAAAAAATAAAACTTGAGCTTTCTGTCAAGTGTCGTGAGTTAAAGTAACTGCGCCCGAGGTTGGTGGGCTGGCGGCTGTGCGGAGCGGTCGGGGGGCTGCTGCGGGTGCTCTGGGCTGCCCAGTCCCGACGTTGGACTTCATTTATTCCTGACTTGAGTGTTTATTTCCTGCGTGGATAAATGATCCTTGGCTGTCTGCAGGAAGCCTGTGGCAGGAGGGCGGTCGGATCGCTCCTCTCGAGTGGTGAAATTAAAACTCGGTGCCAAAAAAAAATGCAGTCTGCACTGTTTACATCTGCTCTAGAACGGGTCTGTTTTCTGGTCACCTCCTGCTCGTGCGTTGGGGTTTTCGTTTGGGGTTTTTTGGGTGTGGGGTTTTTTTGTGTAGTAACGGTGGTTTTACTTTTTCCAGATCCAGGTCTTTGAAGATGGAGCTGATACGACGTCCCCAGAAACACCAGAGTCTGCTGCCTTGAAAGTCCCCAAAAGAGGTACGGCCGGTCCGTTTTTCCCCGAAAACCCGGCTCTCCCTTGGTCTGGACCAGACGAGGTTCCACTGCCAAACGGGTGCTGGGGTCCCCACGCTGGGGCGGCGGGTGCTGGCTGCTGAGGGCTGATAGTGCGTGCCCTGGGCGCTCTCCCCAGTTCGGGTACGCCCTGGCCTCCCCCTGGCTCGCCCACCTCTCCCGCTGTCCCCTCTGCGAGGCCCCCGCAGCCTTTGGGGGTCGCAGAAGGAAGCGCCGCCTGCAAAAGCTACTCTGGGCAGCTCTGTCCGTACCGTGAACGTCTGCCTGGTGGGGAGCAAGCAGGCACCCTTCCGGGGGGGGTCTCCAGCCCTCGAAGCTGTGCCTGGGTCCCAGCTCCGGCCCCGAACGCGTTCTGCGTGGCGTTGGGCGCTCCCTCCGCTTCCCCCTTGCCAGGCCGCACTGCAGTAGCTCACTTTGGTACCTCGTGGGTTGCTCTTCTCTCCTAGTGACGGGCTTGCCCCCTTTGAGGTCTGTTCTTGTCGAGTGATGCTGTAGCGGCACGCTTAGGGATCCTGGGAGCTTTCAGAAAAGGCTGTGGTAGGTTCCTGTCCCCGACGGCCTGTCAGCGATGCGTGCGAGGCATTTGAACGCAGGCTTAGTGCTTCAGAATGGGGTGGTGCTGGTTGTTTTTTCCCCTCTCCCGGCTAGTAGAAACTAAAATTCCCTTTATTTGGCCAAATGAAGGCTGCATGAAATGCACCCAAAGGCATGGGAAGGGGGTGATCAGCCTGAGAAGCGGGGCGCTCCCATGAGATGTTCATTTTGTCGGTCCCGTGAGTAGAAGGGGAATTGGAATTGCGTTCACGTCCCTTGGCGTGCTGCCTTCGCCTCCTCCGGCAGGGAGCTCCGGGCTCCAGCAGCTCGCTGCCGCTGCGGAGAGCCCGGGCTTGGCACAGCCCACCCCTTCAGTTCAGCTCCGCGCTGGGACCCCCACTTGTGCAGCCCAACAGGGAAGCATTTAAAGCCAGCCAGTTTTAATCTGGGGGTGGGGGTTAGTGCAAAAAAATGGAAACTTCCCTGCTTTGTGTACTGGTGAGAGTGGTTTTTACCCCGGGGTGCTGGGAAGCCCAGCCTCTCGGGTGCGACGGCAGCCTGTGCGTTGTACGCGCTTGGTAGTCAGTGGAAATATTCCTTGGTGTTTGTACGACCTCTTCATTCTCTCTCAATTCAGACTTCCCGGCTGGAAATCCATTTTCCTTGTCACAGTTCGGTACTGGTTTAGGATCAGGTGCTTGCGTGGAGCTGTGCGAGCTGCTCCGGTGGGCCTGTGCTCTGGCGTGCTGCGTGTGAGCGGGCACGGCCCCGCGGAGTGCCCAGCCCCGGCGCTGCTGCCGTCCTGCTCATCCCTGCGTTGCCAGGGGTAGGGAGAGAAGACGAGCAAGCGCTCTTCAGACCCCCCCTTCGCCTCCCGAGAATGGAGGAGCGGCTGGCGCTGCCCTGAGCCGGCAGGCGGGAGCGAAGAGGCCAGGAATACGTCAACGACCTGGAGACAGGGAAGCCCTGGAAAAAGCAACAGAGCACCCCCCGGGCTTAGCGCGGCTCTTCAGCAAACGCCACTGCCTTTTCGTTTCGCCGCATCTGTGCGTGTCCCTACGGCGACTCGTTGGATGCGGTGCCATCTCCCCTCCCGTGAGCTGGCAGTCTTCCCAAGGCTCTGATCTCCACTGTCGGCTGCAGAGTTGCCCCTGGTTCTTCTAAAACCTTTGTCTGGGGCGACGGGCGGTGGCTGCGGCACCCAGAGGTGTGCCCCTGCCTACCCACTGCGCACCGCCGTGATGGTTCCGGTACCGTCCCTCCTTTCTCAGTACACCCTGAGGTCTGTAGCCCCTGCCCAGCAGCGCTCACTGCGATCCCACGGCGATGCTCTGGCCCCTCTTCCCCCGCGGTGGGCTCTTCCGCTCAGACACAGAAATGGGCAGAAGGCACCGGTCAGGTCGCCCCCCTCCTGGTGGCGTTGCTGCCTCTGCTGCTCAGAGCCCGTTTCAGGGCAGGAGCCCCCCAGCACCACGCCGGAGGGAGAAGGGGTGTGTTTAGCTCAGGTTTGGGGGTTGCGGGATGTCACCAGTGTTTTCCACTGCTGTCAGCAGGCAGCAGCGTGGCTGGCATTGAGTGGCACTTGTGCCGTGGGGGGACGCACACGCGAGGTGGGGTCAGTCGGTGGTGGTTGGAATCCCAGAATGGTTTGGGTTGGCAAAGCCCTTGAAGCTCCCCCAGCCCAACCGCTCCCCTACCCCTGCCATCCCACCCCCAAACCCCGGCCCTCAGC